TAATGTATCTAGGTGTGCATTTCTTTGTATCCTCCATGGGACTTGTTGCCTTTCTGAATCTGAAGATTGGTAACTTTCATCAAAGCTAGAAAATTCTCAGCCATTTTCTACTCTGAGATTGGTTCTTCCCCATTTTTCCGTTCACTCTGGAACTCCAGTTACATTTATATTGGATGATCTTATTATATTCTGTGTTGCCCAGTCTCTCTTCCATGTTTTCCATCTCTTTATCTCTCTCTGCTGCATTTCCTATAATATCTTTAGATCCATCTTTCAACTAATTTTTTTGTTTGTTTTCCACAGCTCAATTGCATTGAGTTTTTTAATTTCAAGAATTATATTTTTTAGCTCTGGAAATTCTGTTTGAGGCATCCCCAAATCAACCAAATCTGCTTTGTTTTAGTAATCCAGTGTTTCTAATATTTGCCAATTCCCTCTTTTATTTTATTTATTTATTTTTGGGGGGTACATTACATTCTTTGGCTAATTATTGCAGTATTTTCAGACTTTACAGTTCAGATGCTATGGGGTGTTGGGTTTTTTTTTTCTCTGTTTTCTCTTACAGTGGCTTATTTCTTTTGTGTTTAGTGATTTTTTTTTTTTTTTTTACTTGTGAACCTGTGTTCTTTAAAATCTTATCTGTGAGGGTTCTTTGTGGACTGGATTTGAAGTATGTTCTTCCATAAAGGGTTTGTGCCTTCCTCTCGTTGGCACCCCTGGGCACTGAATATAGCTTGGGGTCTTCTGGTCCACACGGTAGAATCCTGGCCTCACACCCACAAGACTTCAGGCTCGTGGCTTAAGACTCTCAAGGGAGGCTTTTCTTTCCCCCAGCTCCATCTGGAGCTGAGGTCAGGCCGGCCTTGATCCCCGCTGTCTGCCAGTGATTCCCCAGAATCTCACTGGAGGCCTCATCATTCAGTGGTCCTCACTTTTCATGTGGCACTTTTACGTTTATACTTTCCTAGGGGCCCTTTGGTGACTTTAGGTTATGAGCTTCTACTTGTTTCGGCTTGGCACACAGGCATCCTGATGGCCTTGGCGTGGGTTGCTGTCTTCAGGAGAGGTTTTGCTTTGTCAACTTCTCCTGGGAGCCTGGGGACCAATGCACCTCAGGGCGCTTTAACCCGCTGGGGGCCACAGTAAGCCAGGAGCTGCCCAAGTCCTTCCCCCTGCTGTGCCCTCCCCCCAAGTGTGGCTCTTGTCCCAGGGCTGGAGGCAGCTCCACAAAACCCTGCCTTCCTTAGATGCCTGCTGCTCACATTTCAGATTTTGTCTTTTTTTTTTTAAGATTCTCATCTGTGTGTGTGTGAAGTTCTTTTGGTCTGTGTGCGTTACGTGGATCTCTTAAGATTCCCCTTATTTTCCAAGGAACCCAGCAGTGACTAAAACTACATCGCTGTCCTTCACCAGGGTCTTTTGTATGGTAGCTGGAAGAATGCCTTCCAAGTATCTTTTCTGCCGCCGGCTGGGAACGGAAGCATCCGCTCACCTCTCATCTTCTGTGTCTTTCTGCCTGTGGCCCGTTTGGGACAAAAGCGCGCACAGTGAGCACGGCTGCTGTAGTCCTCTTAACCCCACCTGCTTCTCTTCACACTTGGCAAGAGACCAGCCTTCTCAAGTAAACCCCTAAGAAGGACGTCGCCCTAAATGCTCCCCTCCAGGTTTGAAGCCATCAGCTCCAGAGAGAACTCTCGTGCACAGGTGGAAGGCTGGGGTGACGACACATAGAGATGCTGCGATAATGGAACAAATCACGGCAAGCCAGAAATCAGCGCGATGGCCGTGTCTGATCGGAAGCTACCCCACCTGTGGGTGGCGAGGACTGCTCGCTCTCACCCTCAACTAGTGCGGCTTCCCAACGTTCATGTTGACTATTTCCCACCGATTTGACAAGAGGATTCATACCAGGTTTATTTGAGATGAGTGACCCATGGTTCTGTGGGGTCCCGCTGAAGCCAGGTGGCTTTAATTTATGCCAGCATGATCGCTGTAAGCGTCATTCCATAGAAAACAAAGCTAAAAAACGGCAGGCACTTCAGACGCATCCCATGTTCATTTTGATGGATGGTATTTGAGGAGGTGGTTAGAAGTTCCCCTTCCAACATAACACGTTCGGGCTGCCTGGTTTCTTTGTAAAGGAGTCGGCATCCTGGAACGACAGACCCTGCAGCAGGAGGTGTCTGACGCCAGTCAGCGCAGCCGGCCTGCCCCCGCCACGGGCAGCACTGCTTCGAGTGATTAGTAATTGGAGGAGCGTGTCGCTTCCTGCTGAGTTTGTGTGTAATTTATGGATTGTGAGCCCATCATCAAGTCTCAGAGAAAGCTAACTATATCATGTGAAAGAAAGATGCGTTTACATTTTAACTCCCTGAAGTTGCCTCCGGGCACCTGTTTTTATCCAGAGGTACTGTCATTGTGTTGCTTTCCTGTTTGAGCCATCTCTGAGGACCAGTCACAGGGTTCCCTGAGTGTGTCCGTCTGTCTGTCTGTCTGTCCGTGGAGTGGGGCTGGTGCTGCAGGGTGTGGGTCTTGGGACCCTGCTTGCAGTGCAGCGTGTTTACAGTGGAAGCAGAGAACCTGCCCCGCACCGCCTTGAATTCCCGAGCTCAGGAAGTGATTTGCTCTTCTCTCTTCCTCCAATGCCTGTGATGCCTTTAGGAAGGTCTGAGTGTGCTGCTCTCACGCGTACATATATCCTTTTTTTAAAAGTACATTTGATTGACAGTACTGTGTTAATTACTACAGTATAGCAAAGTGATTCATTTTCACACATATATGTGTTCAGTTGCTTCAGTCGTGTCTGATTCTTTGCAATGCTATGGACTGTAGCCCGCCAGGCTCCTCTGTCCATGGAATTCTCCAGGCCAGAATACTTGAGTGGGTTGCCACTTCCTCCTGCAGGGGATCTTCCTGATTCTGAGATCAAACCCAGGTCCCCTGCATGGCAGGCAGACTCTTTACCACTGAGCCACCTGGGAAGCCCTATGCACACATAAATATATATACATTTTTCTTTCTGATATTCTTTTCCATGATGGCTTATGCTTGTTTACGTCCTTGAAAGAGAAGGAGAGAGAAAGAAGGTCTCAGGTTCAGAACCTCCCCTCTTGTAAAGCACAGAACTGAAATGTAACACCTGCTTTCTTTCTGGTGTTTCTCCCGTGTCTCTACCCTACACCCCAGACTTTATACTTAAAAAAAGGTTTAACTTGTGGGAAAACGGAGAAGCACAGGGAACACCACACGTGCTTTCACCTGAACTCATGAAGAGTTAGTTTTTGCACTGCTTGCCTTTTTTCTTAACGCTTTTGCTCCCAGAATCCTCTCCCTCTCCACAGCACCCCACTGCCCTTCCCCGGGGCCACGTCCTCAGGGAGTCCGGGACGGCACGCTGCGGGAGACTCCCCAGACCGCCTGCTCCCTGCTGCACGGTCGCGCCTGCTCCGATGCTTGCTCAGTGTCTCCGTGTGGGTCCCCTCCCTGCCGGGCCCAGCACTAGGCCTCGAGGAAATCCCAGGGGCCGGACCTGCCTTGTGGAGCTGACACTCTCACAGGAACCATCACACAGTCCGTGATGATGGAGGGAATTCAGGGTGCTAACAGTTGGGCCGGTTGGGACAGGTGTACCCATGATCCCAAGATCTAGAAACGTTTTCACTGGTGGGTGGGCCATTGGGAAAGCAGGCAAACACGGTGCAGCAGAAAGTGTCCCCTCCCTGCCCAGAGCCCCCAGCCCCCACACCCTCAGCCAGATACCATGTCCCCACAGGCCTCCCGTGCCCTCCGCCTCCCCCGGCAGCCGGCAGTGACCCCCCTCCGTGAGTGGTCCTCTCTGGCCACCGCCCCCTCGATCGCCTCACTGCCGGCCCCTGCCGCGCGCTGGGCAGACCGGGTCGGCGCTGTTCACACACGTGTGGCCGAGCCCCACGGAGGCATCACGGTCCTCACTGGTCCAGACGCCAGCCAGCGGTCACCCACGTTCCACAGCACCGTGAAGCGGGGCGGGGGGTGCAGACACTGTGTCCCTTTTGCCATAAGAAGGCACAAGGGAGGTCCGTTACCTGCTCGGACATATGGACATGACAACGTACTCGGAGGTGTGATGGGTCCTATTGGGTTCTGGTGGGAATACGTAGGTGATCTGGTTACAGGGCAAATCAGAAAAGAGCAGGAGTCGGTCTGGTGGTGCTGCGGAGAGCTCGAGAGTCAGGCTTCGGTTCCCATCCCTGCTCATGATGAGCTGTGTGGCTTTAAGAAAGTTACCAAACTGGCCCAGACCTCACTTGTAGCATCTATAGAATAAGGATGCTGATATAACCACTTTGTAGAGTTGAATGCAATCATCTCTGCAGATACAGCAAGGCGCCTGGCAGGTGGTCCGATTAGTAGATGGTAGCTTGTTGATGTCGTGTCTGTGTAACCATGACTTGCTTCTCTGTTCATCTTTGAGCATCCTTGTGAGTGTCTGGATCTGATTCGGCCTGGGCTGCCTCCCCAGGAGGCCCCCGACCCCCAGGCCACGCATCCACGTGAGGGGTGGCTGAATGGCTGAGGGAGGGGCCGCGGCACCTGTGGCAGGGGCCTCTTTTCCCCTGAACACCAGGTTTAGCCTTCTGACTAAAGACTCTAGGCGGAGCTGCTCTAGAGCACTGCAGACTTTTTTCTCGGAAGGACCCAGCCAGCATCGCTGGGTGGTCTCTCCACTGAGCATTGGCGGGCAGGTGAAACCCAGCACACAGCTGGATTCTCACAGTTTAACAGGAGAGATTGTGCTTCCACCACCGTCACAGCAAGCACGAACGGAGTGACCGTGTCCGTGGCGGGAGGCCAGCAGGGACGAGGGAGCTGCCGGATGGCGGGCCTCAGCTTCAGGGCAGAGGCTCCTGTTGGCGGACCGCTGGCCGGGCGTCCCCGCGTCTGCTCCAAGAGCTCGGGAGGCAGCCAGGGGGTCTGCTCCAAGGGGTTTAACCGTGTCCTCTCTCCTCCCCGCCCTGCAGGAACGGCCTCCCCGGCTGCCGCCTGCGGACTGAGAGCGAGCCGGCCTGCGGCTCCCCGGTGGTCAGCGGAGACCCCAAGGAGGACCACACCTACAGCAGCGCCAAGGCCGCCGCCGCCGCCCGTAGCGCCTCGCCCGCCAGCGACTCCGTCTCGTCCTCCTCGGCCGACGAGCCCGACGAGTTCGCCGCCAAGGGGGCCCCGGAGGGCAGCGAGGGCCACAGCGAGCCGGAGGAGGACGGCCGGCCGCGCGGCCCCCGGGAGGCGCCCGGCGACGGCGGCCCCGCGCCCGCGCACAAGAAGCGGCCGCCCGCGGCCAAGGCGCGCAAGGTGCCCAGCGACACGCTGCCCCTCAAAAAGAGACGCACGGAGAAGCCCCCCGAGAGCGACGACGAGGAGATGAAGGAGGCGGCCGGCTCGCTCCTGCACTTGGCGGGCATCCGGTCCTGCCTGAACAACATCACGAATCGGACGGCAACGGGGCAGAAGGAGCAAAAGGAAACCGCTAAAAATTAACGAAAACAAGTCACTGATTTGTTTTGAACTTACGGCCATTTGGTTTCAGCATGTCAGGAGATTTCTAATGATTTGTGGCAATATCAGCAATTTGTTATTTTTTTCTTTTCCTTTTCCTTTGGTTTGGTTTTCTTTCTTTTCTTTCCTTTTTTTTTTTAATTTCCCCCCCCCCCTTGGTTTTGGACCCTTAAGAATTTTATGTTTAAAGGAGATTGAAGCCATAGAACTCATATTGACACTCAGCCGTTTTACAAAAGCTTTTCATTACCTGAAGACAAAACCGAAAAAGCCAAAATGACCATTGCTTCCTCCAGCTTGTCTCAGAATCCCGCGGCTGAATCCACAGGGATGCAGCGGTAATGCCGCGGGGACACACACCCAGCACTAGAAGGCACGTGTGCAAGGTCCCCATGGATCAGGCCCAACCTTTAGGTTTAAGAGGTCAGGCTGTGCACCCAGCTGGGGTCAGTGAGTGAGCGCACGTAAGGCAACTGAGGAGGCGGAAGGACCCCTGGTTCCCCTAGGAGCAGATCCAGGCTCGTGGCACTGGGCATCAGAGGATGCCAGGAGAAGCCTTGGCGTGGCTCCAAGCATGCAGTGTGAGGTGGGAGCAGGGCGGTCATCAGTCCTCTGTGCTTCTTAACCACGAAGCCCAGTAGCATCTCCGCAGGCGAACACTGGACCGCTCTTATTCACCGGGTCTCAGTGACTCATAAGAAGAAACTGGGTCAGTTTTTAATGATGTTGCTCATCATTGAATTCTGTTCTGTGTTAAACAAAAAAAAGGTTACACAAGCCATAAGCCTGAAGGTTGGTCCTGCTCATATGCGCGTGTGCACACACATACACACCACACACACGAGAGAGAAAAAGAAAAACTGATGCAAAAAAAAAAGCTATGTCTTCTTAACTGCCCAAGTGAAAATCAAGTTCCAAGAAATTACCATAGCTGTTAAGGAAATAATGGTACAAAACTTTTTCTGTCAAAATCATTTGATCCAAGTGAAAACAAAAAGCTACGGAACCTGCCATTAGTATTGTGGTGTATTTTTAAAAGATGAAAGGCACATTGATGGACAGACTAAAGTAAAACATGGCAAAACAAAAAGAAAAAAAAAAAAAAAACTCCTATACTGCCCTCAAAATGGAGTTTGCAATTAACATCAGTCAGGATTCATCTTTGCAAAAATCAAAATGATTTCCACATTCAGCCGTGTAGCCAGCAGAAATTTCTGATCCACAGTGCATGGAATTCCTTTGAAAAAAGAAAAAAAAAATCACAAAAACACAAACTTTTTTTTATTCAAAAATAACAAAGTTCTTGTAAGGTAAATAATGTATTTAGCATGAAGCATGAATTATTTTCATATAAATATAGAAAATAGAGAAAAGGCTATGCCTCTAATTTTTAAGCCCTTAGGCTTAGAGGTTCTTTTGGTTTTCTTTTTTTCCTTTTTTTTTTTTTCCCTTTCCTTTAATTTCTTTTCTTTTCTTTTTTTTTTTTTTCCTTTTTCCCGATTATTTTGTTTTGGTTTTTTGAAGCAGGTGTTTAAGGTTTAACCTTCTTCAGGGACAAATTCTGACTGTTGGGGAGCTTACTCTGCAATACAAAACTCTCTTCATGTTCTGGTAGGGCCTGGATGGCGGAGCTCTGTACCGCCTTGCCTGCACTTCAGCCCCGACCCCTCTGATTCTCTGCTGAAAAGGTGTCCTTTCTCTCTGTACATGTTTACCATGACGCAATAATCTGAGGGCAAACTCAGTAGTGAGTGTGTGTGATAGAATCAAGAGAATTATGGGACACTGACTTGAAAAAGCCAGGACCGGGGTTTGGTTTCTAGGGAAAAAAGGCAGTGGATGATTATGCAAATTCGCCAGGAGAAGGGGAAACACACGACTGGGCCTTATTGGATGAGGGTGTGAGTTAGGGTACCCGGGAAGGAGAGTGCCGCGGGCCTGGGAAGGCCCAGCCCCCAGACGCTCCCCCTCACGCCGGCTCACGGCGTCCCTGCCGCCTGGGTGCCCGAACCCACCTGGAGCGAAGCCCACCTAGATTGTGGGCGTGGGATTCAGACCACCAGGTGACGGCACACAGCCGGGAAGCAGCTCCTGTGAGCTTTGCCTGAAAGAAAGGAGTCAGGGAGATCGGAGGAACCTCTTTAGAGTGTGATCTTCCGCCCACACGGAAGGGAATTTTAAAGCATAAAAACACCTGCTCTCAAGATACGATGGTGAGGGAGAAGGAGGGGACTGGGGTGATCTTGATTTTTTTAAAAACAGGCCGGGGTGGACGGTTGCAGAGCCCATCTGCCCGCCCCAGGCACTGCCCGCAGCTCGGGAGAAATTAACTCGGGCGTCCTCTTCCTCTGGGCTGCTGATGAGAGGAGCTGGGGGGAAAAAGATCTACACCCCTGCGCAGGTCAGATTCTTTACTGAACCTGCGTGCGTCCAGCGTGCTTGTGCTGGGTGTAGAGAGATGGGAATCAGGATCTTTTCGAAGCGCTCTGTTCCCTCTATCTCCCCAAACCAACGTCTGACACCCCAAAAGCCATCCGCAGCTGCGGGACCCAGGCGGCACTTGGTGATGTCCCCTCACCAAGCCCACCTCAGTCCCCCAGCCCTCCCAGATCAAATCCAGACTTCCCTCCCGAAAGGCAGAGACAAACATCCAGGACTGTTTTTCTGGCGGGGGTTCCTTCTGATGGCGACCCCCACCAGTGGGCTGTCTCCCCTCATTTCCTTTTTTCTAAAGGAGCAAAGGCCTCTTTTAGAAAGTAATAAAATGCAATGTGTGTGATTTACTTTTCTGATCTCTTTGAGAAATAGAGAAATATCTTATAAAAGTGTGTTCTTAACTCCAGAACCACTGTTTTTGCATAAATACCTCATCGGGCAGCTTTCTAAGTGTTATTTCCCGCGTCTCCTGCAGTCCCTAACACAGGAGCCGCTGGGAGACCTGGGGGAACTTTAGTGAGGGTACTTTTTTCTATTTTTCTTCTGTTTTTGGAGGCATACACATTATGCATAACCAAAACAATGGCTCAATTGTGTTTAACTTTGTATTTTGATTGTTGAGAAAAAAAAAAAAGTATCGATGTGTATGTGGCCGTTCATGGTGACTTCATTGCGGAATGAGGCTGTCCACGCCCTTGCCAAGCCCGGGGGCGGAAGACACCCTCTCTCACCCCCTCCTCCAAGAGCAGTAGAGAATTTAAGCACAAGCCTATTTGTGAAAGAATATTTTGCTCAAGTGTAATTCACTCTAGTCTTGGAATTTCTTCCCAAACGTCAGGTGTTCTTTTAGCTTCCAAACCACCCCATGTCCTCATCTAGTCTTGACAAGAACCGCCCGAGCACCGTTCCGGGGGTGTGGTGTTTTTGCTTTGATTTCTCCTGCTGGGAGAAGCGGCGTCTCATGTGTCATTCCAGTTTCACATGCTCACGTGGGGTGGGGGGTGGGGGGGCAGTGGGGAACTATAGCAATATTTGAAGATGCTTTTGGGAAACAGCCGTGAACACATCCGCACCGTGACATCGCATTTACTTGTTGTCGGTCCTAGGACACATTTAAGAGACGGAGACTTTGCTCTTTCTTCTTAAATGCTATTATACACATAGAAAGTTATTTTTATGCTACTACAGTTGTCTCATCTTTACCTAGTACTTTGTGGAAAGGGTCTGCATCATCGATTTTCCCAGCCTTATGATACACCCTAAGCTCCTATTTCCCTCTCCCCCCCCCCACAAGCAGTATATATGTATATACACACACGTGTTCAAGAGTTCTTTGGTCAAATTGTCTATCTGAAACTAAAGTGAACCCACCCCACATCCAGATGGTGGTTGTAGAAAACCCTGGCCAAGACAGCTGTGGCAGATTTCAGTCTTGGGGCTACATTTTTCAGAAGGGCTGTGTGGGAGGCTTCTCCCAAGAGCTGGCTTTCTCCCCTGGGAGAGGCACTGAAGGTGTCTGGCCGGGCGCGGCGTGAATGCCACGGGGCCGCCGGGGGTGGGGGGGGTGGGCCGCCTCCCCCGGGGACGGCTTCGGGCTGTGGGCTTTGTCCAGCCCAGTTCTGGGGCACGGCTGGAGTGCTCAGCCCCAAATGCTGCCGGCCCCCCATCTCGGTGACCCCCGCCCGGCACCCCACACGTGTGGGCCCCCAGCCTGTCATCCAAGAGCTCTCGGAGAAGGAATCAAAGTTCCGTACAAGTGACCTGCATGGGAGGGTTTTCCATATGGGATTGGATTCAACTCAGTGTGACTTCTCTTTCCCTTTAAACTTGATTCAGGTTGGGACTCGTTTCTTTCTGGTGGATCACAGCTGCCCAGATGTTGCCATTTTCTTTTTTATGTTTCTGTAGAGTATTTTTCTTTCATCTTCAGGATTTTTTTTTTTTTTTGCCACCAAAAGAACACATTTGAACTCCGTGTCCCCTGTTGATTGTGACTTTAACCAGTGTTGACAGTCCAACCCTTCGTGTCGTAGGTCCCAGCTCGAATACTATATCAAACACTGTTATGCAGATAACGCAGCACTGTGATCTAATTTAAATAATACTTTTTTATTATTTATACTACTATATATAATATACATCAACACTTTTGCTATATAACCTAAGTGATAACCCTCTTTTTAGTTACCTGCCAAAACTCGGGACTTTGGTTTATATTACAGTTAACACAGTTACAAAGTTGGAATGGTGTCTTTTTCTTTTTTCTTCCTTGTAATGGAACGTGTAAATCGAAGTATATCCGTTGTGTGGTGTTCCTGTCCCTGGAGTCCCGTGAGGATGTGCACAGGGCGTTCAGTGTTCTGTATAGACCCACCTGCCTTTGTGAATGCATCTGTCAGCCCCCCTTCCTTGGAGAGAGCGCCGGTGATGGTGGTCAGCTGCTCTCTCTGCCCCCTACTGGTTATTCTTGAATTAAGCACAGACTCCGTTGCTTTATCATGAATAATGTGTGTGACCTTACAATTCTTCCACAGTTCAGCAAACAAGTGCTAGCGTCACCGACCAAAAATTAAGGAAGGAAAATCCGATGTTTCAAACGATCCATCTTTTAACGGCCGAAACCAATGTGTCTATGGTGCTGCGTTTTGCTGTCTGTCCTACTTTTGAAATCAGACCTGGGTGAAAGATCACTTCTGACTTAACTGTGATCGTGCTCACAAGTACCCTTCCTGTCCGTTTTTGTTAGCGCTGAAATCAAGACTATTTATTTGGAATAGATACAGCAGTGTTTTCCACTTCCTTTGCAACAGTTGAGAACAGCCTTCCCTACTTCTTGCAAAGAATTAATATTCCATATTGGATTCGCAGAGACTTCGATATGGTGTATCTAGCAAACCTAGAAGTTGTCTTTCATACTTTCATGACTGTGGCCTGAGTTCCCAGCCCCTCCCTGTTTTTTAGATGAAACTCTTAGCACAAGTTCAGTTATTTAAGCGTGCAACATTTCTTGAGTATGTGTGTCGAGCCTTCGACACAGCTGATTCAGTAACCAGTTCCCTGCTGTCGTTCACACTCACTGCTTACACTGCCATGGTGACAATTGGACGAGACAAGTACCCGTGTGTGTCTGGGAAGCATTATACACTTGTACATTTTTTTATACTCTGATTCTGTAACATTTCTGAGTTCTGTTTTTGTTTTACAGAAAAAATAAATAACAGTGATAAAGCAATCAGAAGACAAGAGTTTACTCTCAATACTTAGGGTCGTCTGACCTCTGGCCAATAGACCTCCATGGCCAAATTTATTTACTTAGAGTAATAAGTTTTCAAAAGCCAATTTCCGTCGGTGTTTTTTTCTGAATGAAACTGCCAATATCACGAACAGAAAGGGAGAGCCGTGAAGGCGGAGGTGACGCTCGGGCGCGTCTGTGTTGCCTCAAGGAAGCGTGGAAGCAGGCACAGCCCGCCCGCCTTGAGGGACCTGATCGTGTTGCTTTGGAGGCATCCATACTTGCATTTCGCATCCTTCGTATGTAATCATATTGCCAAAGACAAACTATTTCATCATTTATTGTAAATAACACTTTTCCCCCAGACCTACCATAAAGTTTCTGTGATGTATTGTCTTCCAGTTGCAATAAAAATGACTGAGTTGCATCAATTGAAGAAAAGCGCCACGTAGTGTTGTGTGCCCTGCGTCTCCGTAAGCCAGCGCTCAGCAGTGAAGTCGTCCAGATTTTGTCCCTGCACTAGGCTGTGTGTGCCGTTTTTTTATGGCTTGGTGTGAGAGCCTCCACGGCACTTGGCCGTGCCTTTCGCGTTTGTTCAGTCACGCCCAGTCATGCTCAGCCTTTGCAACCCCGTGGACTGTGGCCCACCAGGCTCTTCTGTCCACGGGATTTTCCAGGCAGGAATACTGGAGTGAGTTGCCATTTTCTACTCCAGGGGATCTTCCTGACTCGGGGTCAAACCCACTGCTCCTGAATTAGCAGGTGGGCTCTTCACCACTGCGCCACATAGGAAGCCCAGCCTGTCCGCATACATGCCTCCTTTTCAGTAGAAAACCACATGCCTTTTGCAAATACACAGATTTGCAGCGGAAGGCCGAGCTCACCTGTGGGTCTCAGGAGAATGCTAGGTCTGACCTAAAGAATTATGGGACAGCAGGCCTCCCACCATGAACTTGTGGTTAAGACAAACTGTGCCTTTCATTTGGAAGTTGTCAAGAAATATACTAAAGTTATACAATGGGGCTGGAGCCTGCCAGCCTATCCCAGGTCCTTAGGGCTTCTGAGGATAGCTTGCCAAACCCCGAGACTTGGACCTAGAGGGCCACACACACGCCCCGAGAGCCCAGAGGGAGCTGGGTGGGAGAAGAGTGGCTGGGACAAGTCCTAGGGCCCAGGGCACCAGGACCCATGCCGGAGGAGAGGAAAGGGCTCTGCTTCCTCTCGAATAGTTTTGCTAGTGGGTTGTGTCGGCCCGTAGATCTCAGAGCAGCCCTGACCCCGGCAGACCTCCACCGCCCTCACACGGGTGTCCCTGCTGTGCTCAGGGCGGTACTGGACGGTCACTTCGTGCAGGGCCGCCTGCTGGGATGGATTCCCAACCAACCTCTCAAACTGGCGGCTCAGGATCCAGCGGGTTTGCCAAGGTTGCAGCCCACCCGGTCCCCTTGCATTGTTTTTCCACCTTCGGAGCAGTGGTGTTCCTTCCTGGATGAAAAATCTTCCATATGTCAGGGAAATTGATTGGGAGGGAAAGCAGAAACTCATTTGGATCAAATGTGATGAACTCTGGGTAGTTGCCCAGGTCGGGTAAGCTTGATACTAAAGTGTGGCCACCCACCGTCAGATGCCCGTACCAGACATTCCATAAGTGAGTCTGAAGGTGTCTGCAGACACAACGCCCAGTTCGGTTATCAGAATACCTGAGGGAACTCTGTCAAGATGATAGACTAGGACTTGCCTGCTCAGTCACGGCCGATTCTTCGCAACTCCCTAGACTAGCCGCCAGGCCCCTCTGTCCATGGGATTTTCCAGGCAAGAATACTGAAGTGGGTTGCCATTTCCTCCTGCAGGGGGTCTTCCTGACCCAGGGATTGAACCTGAGTCTGTGGTGTCTCCTTCATTGTCAGGCAGCTTCTGATGACACCTCCAAAATTCTGTTCTGACTTCCAGGGGACGTTGACCATTCCACGAAAGAGAGGGGAAAAAGTCTGGTAGGTGTTTGTTACCTGCAGTGAAGACCCCAGTGGGGTCTATTATAAGATGGTATAAGTGGGAGAGGAGACAGGTGAAAAAGATGGAATAGAAATCACACTGCATGACAATAGAATGAAACGGCCACCGAAGTCAAATTTGCCGTATTAGGTATTGCCGAGTATTTTTGTTCTTTTCTGTTAATTCACGAAGCACTCGGGGACTTCCCTCGTAGCCCAGTAGTGAAGAATCTGCCTGCCAGTGTAGGGGACGTGGGTTTGATCCCTGGTTCGGGAAGACCCCACACGCCCTGGGGTAACAGCCAGGGCGCCACAGCTATTGAGGTGGGCGCACTCCAGAGCCCGTGCTTCGTAACAGGAGAGGCCACGGCAGTGAGAAGCCCCTGCTCAGAGAAAGACCGCACGCGGCAACCCAGTCCCGGCCCGGCCGAAAATAAATGAGGAAACAGAATTTAAAACACCGGAAGGCGCATTCGTTTAGCACCAGTCTATCCCGGTGGCTGCTGAACCCCAGTCACAGACGGGGCCCGTCCGGCGGGGCCGTCAAGCTGCGAGAAGGGGCGCTGAGCGGGAGGTGGGCACGCGCTCGGGAGCTCACCGGCTCCCAGGCGCACTGGGGCAGGGCTTCCCGAGGGCTCGGCAGCAAGTCCTATGAAATTAGTTGTTTGGCCCCGTGACTGGCCTGAGCGCACAGCACCAGTGCATCCCTGAGCTGCTCCCGCACCTGTTCAAGCAGCCTTACGTCCGCCCCCGGTGTTCACCTGCCCCCATCAAGGCGGGGCCGCAGCCGCTGCCTTCCTCTTCCCTGCAAAGAGGGAAGCGAGGGAATGACCGCTGTCTTCACTGTATTAACGTTAAAAGCAGCTTGGCATAAGTGTGAAGAGAGAAGAAATCAAAAGTACTCGTGAAGCTTGCATTCGTAAGTAACTTTCATTCCTTGGTTTAATAGCGGCATTTGCGATTCGGTGCTATGCCCTGGGGAACTGTATTCTAATATCCTGGTTTCCTTTGAGCAAAAACTATAGAAGATTCTGGACTCTGCCTTGAGGATGGAATTATTCACTGGAGAGGTGCCTTATTTGCATATTTAAGTAGCAGGCGAGTTCTCCTCTAATGTTTAGGTAATCTAGATGTGACCTCTTTCTGCTTTTTAAAACTTCTTTCTGGACAATTGAAAATGGATTATTTTTGGAAAAGACCAGACAACACTGTCCTCAAAGCTCTGCGACTCCTCAGAGCAGTGGCAGGACGCCTCACCCCCATCCCAGGTACCTCGGGGACCACAAAGGTCCTCCAGTGCATTGAGCGCGTCGAGGCTGCCCCAGGTGAGTGGCGGGGAGCGGTGCCAGGTCCCCTCCAGGGCCTCCTCGCCTCCTTTGGACTGCTCTGCCTGCGAAAGGAAGGCTTCTGCACTAAGAAAGCATCATCCTTCTAGAAAATTCCAAACAGATGAGAGCCATTTCAGAGAAGTCTGGTTTGACTAGAAGGCTTTTGTTTATCTTCTGAAAGCTCACGCCTGTCACCCTGCTTCTCAGGCCCCTAGGAATTAAACAGCCCCGTAAGTGCCTGCACGCTCGCTCCGTCGCTCCTCTCGTCTCTGACCGCAGCCTATGGCAGCCGCTCGCCGGGCTCTTCTGTCCGTGGGCTCCTCCAGGCAAGAGTTCTGGAGTGGGCTGCCACGCCCTCCTCCAGGGGATCTTCCTGACCCAGGGATCAAACCCAGGTCTCTTGCGTCTCCTGCATTGCAGGCGGATTCTTTAACCCACTGGGAAGCCCCACTGTAAGTGCACAGACATAAATGTGCTTTGGCCATTTTTAAATCGATTAGGATACAAAACCAGGGATTCAGGAATTTGTCAAGGACTGTTTTTTTAAAAGACTCAAATATAAGCAAATATGTTTATTCGATGTCCACCTCTTCCCTTTGTTTCCTGTGAATAAAACTTTCCAGAAGAGTGCTATAAATAATGCTCATAGCAAAAGTATCTTGGTTTGAAATCTTGGGGGCGTTTGGGGATAGTCTCCTGACGTTTTATGTTACTCCATAATAAAGTACTTCTGGAACATGTGACCAAATCTCCTTCAAGATGCAACAATTTATTTGAGAAGGATCAAGGAATTCTATTTCTTCTCATCTGTTACTCATCTAAAAACTGACTTCTAAAAATGGGCAATATGGAAGAAGCACTGTGTGATGAGGGAAATCTGAAAGAAGACAGTGGCTGACGTCTTAAACCCACGGGGATGCAGCTTCTTCATTAAATGGGTCCACTTTAGTCACATCATAAAACTGAAAAGGACATTAGGGATCGTGAAGTCCAAACTCCCTGTTTTACAGACCCAGCAGCTGAAGTACAGAAAAATTAAGGGATTTTCCCAAGGTGATGCAGCTGGCTAGTGGCAGACCTGGACTCAAGTGGACATCTTCCTTCTTGCCTTTTGTCATGTCCATCTATTTGATATGTGATTATAGTCATCACATCTGTAGAATTTCATTGCTGGCAATTCCTCAGAGGGACACTTAATATGATGTCTTATGCATTTTCCCTATAGCCATAGCAAGAAAGACTATTTTTGTAAACGATCCATAGCACTCTGTTGAGTGGGAGGCCTGTCGTCTTCCTTTTCATTGTTTGCGTTGCTCACGTGCATGCATGCTCAGTCACTCAGTTGTATCTCTTTGTGACCCCATGGACTGCAGCCCACCAGGCCCCTCTGTTCACAGAATTTCCCAGGCAAGAATACTGGAGCGGGTTGCCATTTCCTACTCCAGAGGACCTTCCCAACCCAGGGATCAAACTTGAGTCTCTTGCATCTCCTGCATTTGCGGGTGGATTCTCTATTCTATTAATACCACAATGAAGAGTTTCAGACATGTGGCTACTTGCGTATTTCCAACTTGCCTGTTGGTTAGACAGCCTATTGGAACGAAGTGTGACCAGTGTTACAGCACTTTATATACAGGCTTTCTAAAAGCCACCAGTAGCAACAGCAATGAATGAAGGCCCCAATTTTGTTGCACTCTTACCAGTATTGGAATTCATTTTTCTCTTTAAATTTTCCTACCAAAGGTAGTATTTTATTGCTGTTTTTTTGATCGAGGTATAATTGACAATTTATTACTGTTTGAGTTTTCATTTAATTACTAGCAAAGTTACATGATTTCTCATAATTTACTGGCCATTTATTCTCTCTTCTCTGAGTCATCTATAACTGACTCTCTAAAAATTGGAGAAAGAAATTAGATACGCAGTCTCTTTTCTAGCAGTGTTCCTGGCTAGCCATTAAATGAAGTCAGGATGACCAACCACATCAACTGACCTCAGATGTATTATCTTCAGACACTAGTTGTCCTTAAACTGAGACAAATTCCAGCCCCTAAAATGTTTGACTGAAGTTCCTAGGACTTCAAAGACCACCAAGATGCAAATGAAAATCATCTTGCACATGGCAGCCACTTACACATTTGAATAATTTCCTTCCTAAATCTTGTCCAGCATAAATATTCCAAGTTCTGTCTATTCTTTCTCTCTTCCGGACATGACCCAGTTGGTGGTCAGAACTAAGTCCAGTCTGATGATAAGAAGCCATCACTTTCTTCATTATAGCTCCTCTATTTCTATTACCATCACCAAAGACTAAAAAGCATTTTTTTCAGTTGTCTCACACCAGGGATCCAGCTTGAGCTTGCTGTTAACTAAAACAACTAAGTCCTAGCTGTTGTTGCACTTCCCCAGATGTTCATTTTGGATCAGAGCGCAGGACTGCCTCTCTATAAATGTCGCCTCCTTAGATTTGGTCCACTGCTCAAGGCCACTTGAGATTAGCAATAGGGTGGGAGTCTGGCAGTCCATCGGAAACACTTGCTTTCCCTCCAGCTGTCACTGGATCACAAACTTGAAAATATCTTTTGTGTTGACGAGGACAGAGCTGGACCCTGCGGCTTGGTTCTGGAGACGCCCTTGTGGGTCCGCTTTCCTTTCAATAAGTCCCCTTGGAGGGCGGGGCTTCCCCGGTGGCTCAGTAAGGAAAGAATCGCCTGCAATGCAGGAGACCCAGCTTTGATCCCTGGGTTGGGAAGAAAATGGCAACCTGCTCTAGTATTCTCGCCTGGAAAATCTAATGGACAGAAGAGCCTAGTGGGCTACAGTCCACGGGGTTGCAAGAGTCAGGCACGATTTAGCGACTAAACCACCCCCCACCCTTAGATGGCAATTATTCAACTGGTTATAGGTGCCCCTGGCTTTATGAAGATATGTGAAACCTACATTTCTCCATTCAGTCAAAGCTCTGTCAAGTACATCCTGGATCTCCAAGTATAAAGCCGAAGTCTTCCTTTATAAAAAAGGAAATAGAGTCCTACTTTTTGCTAATACGAATTATACAAATGTGAAATAAGGCAGCAGAGAAGAATAAAGTTTCACTTATTGTACAAACCTTAAAATAGTGTAAATCCTACTTCACTCCTATGGGGAAATTAGTCTTGTTTCAACGCATGTATTAATACGAGATTTTAAGGAACATACCCGATATGATAAGCAGCCACCATTTATTCATACACATCTCTGTCCATCCATTCACGTACTATATCTTAGTGAACTCAAGTTGGCTTCCTTGCGAAAAGCTTACAAAACATTCATTTAATAATCCATCCAAGAACTTTACCTAAGGATAGCATTGAAACTATGGGTCTGAAGTTTGCAGACAGTCTTCTGTTTACAGTCAAGAAGTTTCAGGGGCTTCCCTGGTGGTCCTGTGGCTAAGACTCCATGCTCGCAATGCAAGTGGCCCAGGTTCGATCCCTGGTCAGGGAACTAGATCCTACATGCCACAACTAAGACCCGGCGCAGCTACAGAAATAAAATTTTTTTTGAAGAAAATTTCAGCGTAATGCTGAGTGGTATTTCTGCATTTCATGTGCAAGCCCGTTTGGAGCACTGCCATATCTAGCCTGTGGTTCATCTCTAACTACAGTCAAATGCATCTAAAGTCATGAGCTCTCTTTCTAATGCAACGTTCAGACCTTGAGTTTAGATACTTCTGGCCCCTATTTGTTATTAAACACTTGACATTATCCAGCAGGGCATATACATTTAAGCATCCAGAACTTGCGTAGTCTGAGAAGACAACCCAAAATAAGAAAGTATGGAGAAGAAATTAAAGAAATAAATTCAGGAAGTTTTAAAATAGACTTTCTCCTTCACGACCATAGTCAGCCCACCCTTGTTTTTCAGCAACTCTCTGCCAATCCTGATGATGCTAGGGGGATGTGAAAAATAAGGCTCCTACCTTCAAACATGGTCACCTCCAAAAACCCAGCTGTGTTGAGTCTTGGGCGTCTCAGTGGCAGCTGATATATGTTCCCCAAACTTCTCAGTAGTGGATGGTATTTTCCAGACACAACAATACTGGCTGTGAAGATCAATATAGCCTTGGTCTTCCTCTTCCTCTCATGTCTACTTTTTTCACCTCTGTTGGCTGCTGAGAAATTACGTAAGAGCCCATTTGCCATCTGCAGACATGACCACCCCTCCCATGGGAGTTTGGTTTCTTACTGAATTGATCTTTGCTACTGGTCACCAGCTCTGTGATAAAATAACTGGATGTGTCCTTCCCTCGCATGGACGGAGGAGCCTGGCCGTGGGGTAGCAAGGAGTCAGTCTCGACTGAGCGACTCACACTTCCCCTCTCTTTTCTCTCCCACACCGTGTTCCAAGTTCTCGATTTAGAGGCAAGCCTCACCCTGCTCTGCGTTCTCTCCCCACCACCCAGCCCTCACCAGTCCCTTCCCAAAACCGCGGAAAGAGTGAAGACTGGAGAATCCAAGCGACACGGATCCTCTTGCTTTATTTTCGTAATTCTTCTGCCACCGCCATGGGTGAACCAGATGTGCGGAAAGATGCATGAGGCATCCAGTCGACTATCAGTCTAGTCTTTTCTCTGAAACTCTTACGCACTGAACATGGACCCGCCGACCCTAGAAGGTCCTGCACATCCAGCCTCCTGCCTGCCGACGGAGCCCGGCAGCACACCCTCTCAGAGCTCAGAGGGGCCTGGCCACGCACACTGATTATCAGGGGGCTCTCGTCACGCAGCACAGAAGCCACGTCTGCTTGATGCTTAATCCTCTCTACTGGACCATTAACCCATCCTGACCCATGAGCAGGGTGGTTTCATCTTTATTGGCAATAACTAACTCCTTTGAAGTGAAAAGATCAAGTGTCAGTTAAGAAAATTCAGAAGGAGGTTATACTCATGCCTAAGTCAGCTGTCTTACCCTTCAAGGGTGGGAGTCATTTCACACGTCCAAGGACTTATAGCTTAACAATAGCATAAGCATGCTGTATATGAAACTGTTCCTTAGCATTTATAAGGTGCTATCAAGAACCCAACTTATCCATCCCAAACTAACTACTCTAAGAGCCCCCAAGACATCGTGAGTCCCCGATGCTCTATCAGCTCCTCCAGGGAACCCAGCACTAAATCTGGTCAGTTGTACCTCAGACTAAAGGAGGGCATGGCAACCCGCTCCAATTTCTTGCCTAGAGAATCCCATGGACAGAGGAGCCTGGCAGGCTACAGTCCATGGGGTTGCAAAGAGTCAGACACAACTGAAGCGACTTAGCACGTCGTGCACCTGAAAGTCGCTTTTGATGGCCTGTCCACCCCCGTCACGATCACCCTCCTGGCCAAGCGCCGGCACCGCTTCCCTGGACATTGGCCATAACCACATTCCTCCCCTGACCACACGTTTCCCACAGAGCAACGAGAATCAGCTTTCCCGGTCGCCTCTGATGGTGTCATCTGCTTCAAATCTTTTTTTTTTAATTTTTAATTAAAAATTTGTTAAATTTATTTGGGGGGGATAAAGATTATGAATAGTGTTTATTGTTAGTATCAGCGTGTATATGTCAATATATGTAAAAAGAAGTTTGATGTTTATTACATCTCAGTGGATGTAAACAAAAAATTCAAGGTAAAGTCAAATAAGAGACATACAAGTATTGCAATTCACATAATCAAATTTTAAGGATTCCAGCCAACAAAAGATATCAATGTGAACTCTAGCACATCGATAGGACAGTGTTAACATGTTGGTATTATGTATTATTTTTTTGGAGTGTGGTTGCCTCTCAGTGTTCTGGTGGTTTCTGCCACATCTGCTTCGGATCGCTGCCCCCGGCCACACTGCCTGCGGGAGCAGGGCCAACACAAGGCGGCCCTGTGAGAGGCGCCTCGGCCCAGATTCCAGCCTCGCCTTGAGCCCCCGGCCCGCCCTCGATGCCCCCAGGCTCCAGGCTCCTCCTGCTGGGGCTTCCTCACGCTCTTTCTCTTCCCAGAATACTCCCTGCTTGCTCCCTCCTTCCCCCTGAAAAGTCCCTGTCCATCCCTGAAGACCCAAGTCAAACTGCTCTCTCTGCACGTCTGGTAGGTGGCCCCTATCCCACGCAGGGAGGACCCTTCAGCTCCCTCCCTGGGTGCAGACAGGTGTTAGATCTTGTTCTATGCTGAACTCCAGGATGGTGACTGCCACTTGGATACTGCAGACATTTTCCTTTAATTCAGCTTTATCTTATCTACTTGATGGTTCCAATGTCCTGCTGTTCTCAAAAGGACTTACAGCTTGGTAAATTCACTTGGCATCTTCCATTCAAGGGAAATTTGAACCCACAATGAGAGTAACTTCTCCCCTTTGAGACCACTAGAATCTCTGGAAAGTCTTATTTCCTGGTCTACAATGATCTACATGGTATTTGCAATCAAAAGTTAACCTCTGTCATGGTATTTTGCCATGTGATGATTAATAAAACCGAGAACTCACTGACACTTAGCCAGTTTATTTTGTAAGAGGGTTTTACTTGGTGAAGCAAGAAACCCAAGTTTTGATGCCATCTCTTCCAGCTTTGGGAAAACCTCTGAACTTGTCTCTGCTTGGTGTAGTCAGTCACGACTGAGTTACTCTTTGCAGCCTCATGGGCTGTACCCGCCAGATGCCTCTGTCTTTGGAATTTTCCAGCAAGAATACTAGAGTGGGTGCCCATTTCCTGCTCCAGGGGATCTTGCTGACCCAGGGACTGAACCCATGTCTCTTGCATCTCCTGCATTGGTCGGCGGATGCTTCACCACTGCACCACCCAGGAAGCCAGTTAAACTTGTCTAGAGTGGCCTTGTTCAGCCGATTGGTGAATCAGCTCCTGCCAAAGCTCTTGGTTGTTGGCAAGATGTGAATAGTTAAGTGATGGAGGGAATTTTTCAAAGAATTCAGATTATTCCCTTCGAAGGAGTATCCATCAATCTAAGATTATATCTCTTCCTCTCCCTGGCTGTCAGAATGTCCTCTCTCCTATAAAAATTATGGTGATCATAGATGGAGGTTTTAGTTTTTAATGTCCTCATCTGATGGACAGACAGATGGCAATGGAATGTGGATCTACCCAAATTTTCCTTTGATCCTGAGCCAGGGCTGTATCTGCCACATTAGGTAACAAGAAATTTGCCTAATATTCACCCTCAGCCAAGCGATGAAGCAAAGGTGGAGTGAAGGTATGGGAAGCAGTTCTGTGGCTGATATAGTCAGGGATCCAAAGCAGATGTTGAGTCCTTTTTGTAGGAGAAATTGGGATAAGGTATGTTCTTGGTCCTGGATCTGAAAATTAGATCATCATCTACATCTGAAAATTCTCTCCCCTAGGTCTGCTAAGGCCTCCCATTAGGGTCTGCATGAGTTAAAAAAGGCTCATTTATTCATTCAACAAACACATACTAAGCATGGACTCTCAGGGTCAATGAGTGCTAGTCCCTGCACACACAGAATGACTGAGGGTGCTTGCTCATAGGAAGCTTGCAAGCCAATCTGATATCACTGAACAGTATTTCCAAATGGGAGGCCACCTATGTATCATTGCACTGAATCTTCCCAGGTAGGATACTGGGAACCAGAAAGGGAAGAGTGAACATTTACCCAGGGAACTCCCATCTTCACGTTTGGTTCCACCCATTTTAGGGTGATTCCCACATTATCTCTTAGACCCAACCCCCTTGCCCAAGGTCTAGACCCACATGGCCAAAACCAGACCACAGGGACCTCCAATTCAACACAGCCAAACCAGCACTGTTGACAGAGACCTTTAGTTACCCATCTGATGTCCATTCACCCTTCGCCACATACGAGCAGAACCCTGATTTCAATGGGCATGGCTGCGTGCCCAAGTGAAAAGATACAGTCTCCAGCTTCCCTTGCAAGTGGATGACAATGGGATGTAAGAGGCTGGGGCTTCTGGAAAGCTCTCTAAAAGAAGACCAACACAGCTCTTACCATGACTGATCCTCCTCTCCACTCTCCTTCCTACAGCATGAAATTCCACTGTGAAAGCTGGAATTCTAATGTGATAGCTGGAGAGCAGAGGCCATTTGGTGACAATGAGGCAACTTTGAGATGAGCTTGAAAATGAAAACCGAGTGCTAGGGATAGGCTTCCCTGGTAGCTCAGTAGTAAAGAATTTGCCTGCCAATGCAAGAGATGAGAGTTCAGTACTTGGGTCGGGAAGATCCCCTGGAGAAGGAAATGGCAACCCACTCCAGTATTCTTGCCTGGGACATCCCATGGCTAGAGGAGCCTGGTGGGCTACAGTCCACGGGGTCTCACAGAGTTGGGCCCGCCTGAGCACACACATGCATCGTGCAAGGACAGTGGAGAAGAAGGCTCCACGGAGCCGAGGACAACACTGCCACCGTGGAACTGCCGAGTCAGCCCTGGGCTCCCAGGCTCTGGATTTCTTTTCCATGGGAGGAAGCAAAATCCAATCTTCTTTAAGCCATGAATATTCTAGAGCTGTCACTTGCAGCGAAGAACGGTTCTCAGCGGCTGCGGGGCTCACCATTACAGGCCTCCCACTCTTCTCTGGCTGCTGTGGGGTCAGCCCTTCCTCTGGATGCCTCACTATGTTCCCGTCCCCAAGCCCTGCCAGCCCGCCGAGGCCTGAGCCCAGGAGCTGGCAAGCTGGCCCCACTGGCTGGCGGCACCTCCCTCTGTGCTTGCAGGTGGCCTTTGGGGCGAGGCCGGCCACCCCACCCCCTTGCCTGGGTCGATCTTCTGTGGCCGCTTGGGAGAACAGCAGCAAACACTGAACGTTTGAGGCAGAGCCCCGTGGCTTACGAAGTCTGGAATAGTTACCTGCAGCCTTTCACAGAAGAGCTTTGCTGACGCCGTATCGCCCGGTTTCCTTTAGTCCTCACCTCCGCAGCTATCCGCAAGCCCCCCCAGTCCCGCCCTCGGAGGCCTCTAAGCCCGTCCTCACTGCAGCGGTCCGCGCTGTGGGACCCCGGCGGGCTCGGTGGGCCCCGCGCAGGCAGAGTCCTGGTGTCACAGGTCCCTCTCCCCGCCACCCCCATCCTTCCTCCCCTGAGTCAGACCAGCCCACCCAGGGCGCCAGAGACCTGGGGAGCCGTGCGCGGGTGACGGAGGGGCTGAGGAGACAGTGAGGAGCCCCGGGGGCGTCGCCCTGAATGGGGGGGCCGGGGGGAACTAGATGGCAGGGCCAGAGGCCCGCTCAGCTGCAGCTGAGGCCCGGGGGTCCCAGGCGTGGACCGACGCCCCGGGCCCAGAAGCTGGGAAGGAGAAGCCCTCCTTCCCTCCGGTCTCTGCCACCGATCACCGCTTCCCAGCAGACCAACCCGAGGAAGGCGGCCGGGCACAGGACCCAGCCCGGGGCGGCCTGCTGCTGCTCCCACCGCAGCAGATCGGAGCCGAGCAGAGGAAGAGCGAGCGGGGCAGCCAGGGCCTCGGGCCCCTCTGCTCCGCTCCCCGCACTGCGGACAGGCCGACCGCCCTGAGCCCCGCCTGGCACTTCACGCCCTAACATCCTCCCGTGGGCCCTGGGCTCAAACGCAGTCCCAGCCCCGTGGGGCACGCGAGCCCCGCCCGCCCGGCCCTGCCGCCCCGACCTGCCCGCCCGCCGCCCAGGCCCACGGGCTGCCCAGCAGGCTGCAGTGTCCTGCCTGGCCCTTTGCACAGGCGGCCCTCTCTGCCTCTCCGGGATGACGTTTCATCTGGCATATCGCCCTCCCCACGTGTTTCCTCCGTGTTCAGCTTCCAGTCTCTGCCGCCGAGGTGTCTGTGGGTCACATTCCTGGGTGCCAGCACTCGTCGTGGCTCCTCCGAGCCGTTGATTTCCTGGTCTGCCTGTGCCGCGATCTCCTAAAGGGCGAGCCTTTCACCCTGCGCTTGGCTCTGGCCCCGGGTCTGCCGGGCGCCGGGCACGCGGGGCCCCCTGGGTGTGCCTTTCCTGGGTGGGTGGGGGCGGGGCTCTCCCGGCTGCGGCGGACGCGGGGGGCTGGAAACGGGGCCCGGAGCCTCTGAGAACCCGGCTTCAGCCCCCACCCGACCAGGAGCGCTCCCGGGGGCGGGGCAGCCCCCGCCTGGGCTTTCGAGGCGGACCGAGGGTGCTTTGGTGTGGCTTGTCCTGGCCACGTCCGCAGCCGAGCTCTCCATCTTCAGAGGGTCTGCCCTGTGGCCAGCAGGAAGACCACCGTCCTCCGTGGAGCCCCAGGCCCAGAAGGGGCACCTCTCAAGGACTCCTGCAGCATCCAGGCAGAAAGGACCAGCGGGAAAGGGGTGGGACCTCTCCCAGGACCGCGGGGTCCCCACCTCCCAGACCAGACCTCCGGTCCTCTCCTGCTGCCCGTGGGGGATGGGATGGGGGGCGTGGGCGCCCCTCCTTGGCCCCGCCCTCAGTTTCCCGGCTCTGACACTGACCACGCGGAGCCCGTCTCCACGGGGGAATCACATCACAAAGGTCTCTGCACGATGCTCTCAGCATCGCCAGGTCAGAAGCCTCCGATCATCACTGGGGGCACGATCGATGCTCTTGTCCGGCTTTGAATGCCCGTCAGTTCTCTCCTTGGCTCTTTGCTAAGTAAGTGTCACTGAGAACAGTTACCTCGTGCGAACCTGCTCTCAGGCCTGGGCTTTGCAGCTTCCTCCAGCTGATGAGAGGCTGAGCGTCTTGTTCCTGCTCTGCCCTCGGTCAGTCCCACAGAGCGCTCCGCGGTGCAAGGAAGGTTCTTCCCGCCCTGTTTTTCAGCCAACGTGGCAGTTCCACTGATCAGAAAAGAAAGCCAAGCCTTGTGTCCAGGCTCTAAAAGAAGGGCCTGGGCAGCCTGTGTGCTGGCTGACTCAGCAAATGGGGCAAACGGGCTGGTGTCAGGCCGACTAGGTTTCCAGTTCTGGCTGCTGGCTGGGTGACGTTGGACAAATTGACTCACCCTCTCTGAGGTTCATTTCTGCATCTGTAGAAAGGGATGGTAAGAGTGCCATCAGGTAGGGCTGTTTAAAGGATTATATGAGATGACGCAGAAGAAATAGGATTAATATAGCCTGTGTCACACCTAAGGGACTCAAGAAGTGACGATTATCATGGCTGTTATTATGATGTTATCATTAGGAATCCCAGAACTTCGCAGTCTGGCCTAGATATCTGTTCTGACACTGACAGATGTAACAGCCACAAGCCGTATGTGGCCACCCTGTGTGTGCTCAGCTCAGTCGTGTCCGACTCTTTGCGACCCTGTGGACTGTAGCCCACCAGGCTCCTCTGTCCATGGGATTCTCCAGGCAGGAATACCGGAGTGGGCTGCTACTTCCTCCGCCAGGGCCTAGTCCTGACTCAGGGATTGAGCCCACCCTGGCACATGGATTCTTTACCACTGAGCCACCTCACAAAACTCATGTGGCCACTCTACAGCGGTTAAAATGTGGACTCTGAATTGAGCTATGCTCTAAGCATATTGGATTTCAAAAACTCAATATGAGAAAAGAGCATGTAAAATAACTCATTAATACCTTATGTAATATTGATTACCTTTTGCAATAATATTTGGATATATTGTGTTAAAATATATTATTAAAATTACTTGCACTTCTTTTTCTTTTTTTAAGTGGCTATTACTAGAAAATTTTAAATTACGTATGTGGCTCAGGTTCTATTTCTCTTGCACAGCACCATCCTGAGAGTTGCTTTCAAAGAAGTCCCATCAAATAGACAAGAGACAGAAACAGCAACGAAAGCAAGCAACAAACGGAGAATGCCAGTTTTTAGTTTGTTTTTCTTTAAAAAAACAACAAACAAGCCAAATACATGCCTTATTGATGCTGCTCATGTCACCTTTCCTCTCCTCCCAGTTTTCCTGCAGCCAGTGCTGTTTTAAAGTCTTGCATTTGCCTCATCCCTGCGTCCACTGCCAAGCACACAGGCGCCATCTCTGCTGTTCAGCCCTCACAACATTTGTTTTCTCTCCTCCTGCTCCGCCAGCTCTGTTCCCGGTCCTGTATGTCCTCCACTCCTCCCCCACTCTGAAGGTAAGAAAAAGCCTGACCTTTTCCTAACTATTCTCTGAATTAGCATCTCCAAGGACCTGGAGTTGGCAGCTGCTCCCCAGGGGCATGGGGGCGGGGGACAGACTACCATTAACCAAGGTCACAGAAGACTGATGGATAAACCTTATTGCCAGAGGGTTCACTGACAGCAGAGTCTTTGTGGGGGTATTGCATGCACTCTCTGCAGCCCAAGGAACACTGACCCTTGGTCCATATTGTCGGTTGTGTATTAAGGTCACTGAGAAAATGAAGTAGTGGATTTGAGCTCAAAACTAGAACCAAGAAGTCTACGAGAGAGATTGCATCAAAACCAAGGAAAAGGCTGCCGGACACTCTGTGTAGCTTCACGGAGGCCAGGTTGCTGAACTCTCTCACTGGGCCAGGGATGGATAAACATGGCAAATTCTTGTTTGGCTTTCTTTTTTCCCAGGCTCCAAGAGAAATCTTGCAATTTTGATTATAAGGTTTCTCCAGCCTCAACATGAAACATTCAATCTGGTTTCAGCTCAGTGACATGTCAACTTTTCCTCCCAAGAGAACAGCCTTGTTGCTGTGACTTGGTTTCAGGGTTCACCCATGTCCTTGCCCTTAGTTACGAGTTGAGTTGTGTCCTTCAAAAATTCATCTGTTGCAATCCTAACCCCCAGTGCTTCAGAATGTGACCTTATTTGGATGAAGGGCCTTTGCAGATGGAATACGTTAAGGTGAAGTCACACTGCAGTAGGTAGGCCCATCATCCAGCGTGACTGGTGTCTTCTTAAAACTACTTATTTATTTGGCTGCGCTGGGTCTCAGTTGCGGCATGTGGGATTTTTTTTCAAGTGTGGCATGTGGGATCTAGTTTCCCAACTAGGGATCGAACCCAGGCACCCAGCATTGGGAGTGCAGAGTCATACCAACTGGACCACCAGGGATGTTCCTGTCGGTGCCTTTTTCAAGAAGGGAACATGTGGAGACAGACACAGAGGGAGAACGCCACGTGAAGACGGCAGCTTGTTGCCAGAAGCCAGGGAAACACCGGGAGCTAGCAGAGAGGCCTGGAATACAGCCTTCCCTAGCATGCCTGCAGACACCTTGATCGTGAACTTCTAGCCTCTGGAATTGTGAGACAATACATTTCTGTGGTTTAAGCTGTTCTGGTTTTGGTGCTTTGTAGTGGCCGCCTTAGGGAACAAATCCAGCCATCAACCACCGGGATACCTTTACAGGTGGCCAGTGTTGCTGCCGTTGTGGGTAAACGCTTCCTAATTTCACTCTTGGGAAAAAAACTTAATAAGGCGTTGGGCATAATCTGTTATCATGCATCCGTATTAATCACATTGTTAGTGTTATGAACAAAATCTTTTTAAATAAAGCATTGGCATTCTTGGCTTTATTTATTATAGGATAGCTTTATAAATTTCTTTAAAGAAATTGTTTCATTATGCACTCATTTTGAGAATTGATATAAGAAACCGTCAATTAAAAAAACCCTTATTGTGTTTGAGAATGACATGGCATTTGAGGTTTTGTCCCGTGTTACTCAAGGACTCTGAACCAAAGCCCCCCCTGACAGCAGCTCAGAGCCAAGAATCAGCTGGGGTTCTGTTTATTTTCACCCCCAATTAACTTGTATGCGATGAAATATACATGGTGTATGTACTTCACTTGTTTTCAGACAACAAGGAAGCTTGGGTTCCATCACTATCACTCCACTCAGCCTAGGATTCTGGGTACATTTTTTCCCCCCGATCTCTTTTTCACATTTCCCTCTTCTTTTTTGCTTCACGATTACTTGTTTTATTGTTCCTTTAATATGAAAATAAACCACCTCAATTCCCTTTTGGAAGCAAGCAGGATAAGAATCAACAAATTGCAATTAAGATAAAACACCCAAAGCAATGACGTTTGGGGAAATGAGAAAGAGGAGGTAATTATACTGGAAGCCTGGTCTTAAAAAAAACCAAAACACAAGCAAAACAAAAACCAGAACGGTCCTCGGCCACCTGACAAGTACTGCAGGCATAGTACACCTGACAAGTACTGCAGGCATAGTACACCTGACAAGTACTGCAGGCGTGCGGCGGAAGGTGGAGCTGAACTAAAGAGTGGAGGGGCGGGTTCCCAGGAAGCCACCAGGAGCTGGGAGCCGACCTGGCGGCCTGCCGCCTGCAACGTCTCTGCGAGTTTTCACGTCTCTGCTAAGTGCAGAGCCAAGCAGTTCCGCAGGGACCCAAGTTAATCAGCTTTCATGCTCCTTTCCGAGGCTGGAACAAACAGCAAGCCTGCTCTAGGAGCTTCACAAGTAGCGGGGTTCCACACCCCGTTAACACTGTGCACTGTTCCCATCTGGGCCTGGTTTGTGGTCCCAGTGGCGCGATGGGCGGGGGGCAACCATGCCAGGCCCTGGGGTCACAGTGTGGCCGGGAAGGCAGAGGCAAGTCCAGCTCCCAGCGGTGGGATCCTCACTGCATCCCTCCAAGGCCCTCTGCTCCTCAGCGGGTTTGGAGGGTTTGGAGCTCCAGAGTGACTGAGGGGTGGGGAGGAGCCCCCTCAGATGTTCTGGGGTCCAGACGGGATCGGAGCGGCCCAGGGCCCCTGCTGGCGAGGGGCTGTGTCTGATGTTCCAGCTGCTCTTGAGCACTAACAAGGACACAGTTAGGCTTCCCTCTCGCTTGCCCTGGAGGGGGAAATGGTGACCCACTCCAGTGTTCTTGCCTGGAGAATCCCGTGGACAGAGGAGCCTGGCGGGCTGCAGTCCACGGGGTCACCAAGAGTGGGACACGACTGAGTGACCAACACACCTGGCCTTCGATGGTAGAAAAGGGCTGGATTCAGCGGTGCCGCCAGCTAAGGAGACTGACCTTTAGTTGGCTTATCTGGGAAACAGGGGTGTCAATATCAGCCTCCCAGGGCTGTTGGGAGGAATGAAGCGTCGTATAGACTTCCTCTGACCGGGAATCTGGTACGTGGTGGGTGCTGGCCGGGCTTGACCAGAATGAGGGAGCTTGTGTTCCCGGGAGATCTATCTCTCCAGCCCCAAATGATGGAGGAAGAATCTCCAGGGAGTAAGAGTGGAGACACAGACCTGCTGCCCTCGGGAGGCACCCTCGTAAATTGTCCATGGAATTCTGTCTGTCTCTTTGTTTTTGGCTGCCCTGAGTCTCTGTCGCTTTTGCGGGCTTTCTGTAGTTGTGGCGAGCGGGGCCACCCTTGGTTGGGGTGGGCGGGCTTCTTGCTTCACGGCTTCTCTTACTGCAGAGCGTGGGTTCCAGACACGTGGGCTTCAGCGGTCGTGGTGCCTGGGCTTAGCTGCTCAGAGTCGCGTGGGATCATCCCAGACCAGGGATGGAGCCGGTGTCCCCTTACTACATGCCAGGTGGTGGAGTCAGTGTTACCATTACACCTCTTTTGCAGCAAGGAATGTGAAGTTTAGAATGCGATCTGGGCAAGGACTTCCCTGGCGGTCCAGGGGTTAAGCATCTGCGCTTCCACGGCAGGGGGCACTGGTTTGATCCCTGGTCGGGGAACTATGGTCCCACAAGCTGCAAGGTGCAGACAAAACAAAAAAATGTAATTTGCCCAGGGTCTCAGGGTGGTGTGATTTATGATGTATAGGATTTAGTTAGGGCTTCCCTGGTGGCCCAGCAATACAGAATCCACGTGAAATGCAGGAGATGAGGGTTCGATCCCTGGGTCAGGAAGATCCCCTGGAGAAGCGAATGGCAACCCACCCCAGTATTCTTGCCTGGAGAATCCCATGGACAGAGGCGCCTGGTGGGCTACAGTCCACAGGGTCACAGAGGGTCAGACACGACTTAAACCACCACCAGCATTCCGCAGGGCCAGGCTTCACTGATAAAGCATCACAGACCCCACCATCTGTAAGAATTTCCACTCGGAGGCTGTTTCTTGGCCTGGAGCAGATGTCCTGATGTCAGCTCCCGCTCCCTGGCTTCAGCAGCCCATCTGAGCATACACCAGAGGCTCACTGGGCTCGGGGACAGCCTCGGGTGAGGATGACAGAGTCTCCGTCACCCGTGAGCCAGACCCAGGGAAGATGTGTGGAGCAGAGGGGACCACAACACACCGTCCACATTTAACGTTAAACGGAAGCTTCATCGGCATCACTGGCTTATCTTAAATTACAGTGACAAATCTTCTGAAGTCCCTGTTCTGAATTTCTTACCAGCTCCAAATGGGCAGCTCAACAGCCACTGATCCAGCACATCAAGGAATCTTGACTTCAAGGAGACATCCCTTTACTTACATGAATGAAAACAAGACTCTCATCTCAGAGATACTCTGGCAGCCTCTTTGCAAAAGCCACGGGTCACTGTCTCCCAGATTTTCATGAGAAAACCCAAGAAACACGCTCCTTTGCGCGGTGTCTGTCTGTGTCTAATGCACTGTAAGAATCACAGGGGGGTTTTCATTAGTTACCTCTGCTCGTGCCTACGGCACTCGGAGCGGTTTACAGCTGCTCCTTCACAGACGGGAAGGTCAAGGCCAAGGGGCGTTCACCGCCTCACAGCCTCTTCCTTCAAGTTGAGGCAACGAGGAGGTCGCCACCTCCCCTTCCGGTTCGCCCTGAGTTGTGCAAGGAACCCCCTCGGCCGTGGAGGGCTGGACGGTGCTGCTGGGTCTTCGTTTCCCTCTTGTGTCTGGGGCGTGGACCCCAATATGCACTCGAATAAAATGTCCTCACCTCGTCACCTTTGCTTTATCTTCAAACAGCTGCAGCTCTGTGGCATTCAAACCATGGTTAGTATTTTCCTACGATGGTGTGCGGGAAATGACTAGGTCAAATTTTATCTCTCTTCAGCCAGCACAGATTCAGCATAAAACTCAGACCTCAAAAGGAAGCAATTACACAACAGTTTTTCCAGAGATGCAACAGGGTAAGAACTATTCATTCAGTAAAGCAGTGATTTTTTTTCAAAAATATCTGGGCAGTGAGCAGTTCTGGGAAATGAGCTTTTCAGAAGCTTCATGATCGTCTTGGCATTTTTGGTTGCAGCTAGGGATGAAGGGTTCCCTGGAGACTCGGTCAGTAAAGCATCTGCCTGCAATGTGGAAGGCCCAGGTTGGATCCCTGGGTCAGGAAGATCCCCTGGAGAAGGGAATGGCTACCCACTCCAGGATTCTTGGCTGGAGAATCCCATGGACGGAGGAGCCTGGCGGGCTACATCCGTGGGGTCGCAAAGAGTCGGGCACAACTGAGCCACTAACACACCCTTAAATGTGAGAAAGATGCGCTGATTTCAGCAGCGGGGGACGGACGCTGAAAACGCAGCCTCTGTGCTCCAGTTCCAAATCAAGTCTTGGAGGCAGGGTTTTGCACGAAGCAGAAAAGAATAGCTTTATTGCTTTGCCAGGCAAAGGCAGACACCTTGGGCTCTTGCCCTTGAAAACTGTAATTCCCACCCTGGGAGGATTTGGTGCTATTGCTATTGTTTCATAGCAATAGTTCAAGGGCAAGGTTGTTGATAAGACTGAGGTGTGTGCAAGGCCTGCACTCCTTAGTCTGGCCTCAGATAATCTCTTTCTTTCCCCAACCAGGGAGCCGACCCTTGCCCCTGCAGTGGAAGCACAGAGTCCTCACCCCCGGACCACCAAGGGAAGCCCATCAGGGAATCTCTTGATGAGCAGCTCTGGTTCCTTTGATCCGGCCTCAGGCGGTCTTCTCTGGAATGAAGGATGCTGACCTCTTCCATTTGTTGGGGGTCTTAGCTCTGCAGAGGAGCTCAGAGATGCTGTTAGGTGTGTCCCTGGAGTCAGAACCAGGACGCTGCCCCAAGGCTGCGCTGTCTCAGCGGTTCCTCCCTTGTCTTGTCGCCTCCTCCCTTCCCTGATTAGCAAATCTTGGAAGCTGCCTACTGGGACTCAGGGAAGGTCATGGAGGCTGGAGCCTGTTCCTACAAACAAGAGACCCGAGACGCGGGCTCCCGTGCCCAGGAGCCCCGCGGGGTCCTGCTCCTCTTCAGGATGACGGAGACTCGAAAGGGCCCTGGAGCCTCTCTGCTGAGATGCAGCTCTGTGCTGACGGGCTGCGGGGAGAGGCGGCAAATACGGAGCCTCGCCTGCAGTCAAGGGGGGGAGCCAATCTGCGGACAGGGCTGTCTCCAGCGCGCCGGACACTCAGAGCAGGGCAAGCTTCAGCGGGCTCACCTGCAGAACGTCGCTAGACTTGGCTTAAGGCTCTACAACTTTGTCATCTTGAAACTCTTCATCATTTTTCCAGCAAAGGATCTTGCATCGGGCCATTGTACGGGTATAGCCAGTCCAGCCTGAAGCAGGCTGTTTCTTAAACCCCCTCGATAGGAGAAGATTCTTTTCAATAACAGTCATGAAAACAAATGAACAATCACAATGGCCAGAAGAGAAGCGCAGACATGGACATTTTTCAAATAGAACTTTGTATGGATAACACACAAATAAAATTTTTAAAAACTAATTGTTTGTTGCAGCACGCAGAAGGAAAAAAGCTCGACTGTTTATACAACAGTTTTTATGTTTACCTAACAGTCTGAACTAACGATGCTTTATGGAAATAATTGTCTAGTAAGTAATTACTCGGTAATGTTTTATTTTCTTGACCTGTTCTTTCATTTCTACAAAGAAGAAGAGATTTCAGAGATTTTGAAGATCATGTTTAAGTTCAGTGTACTAAAACTTGCCCGTTCAGAATTAAACTACTACCCCTCACTGTTTGCACTTTGTTTCCTTTGGAAGTTAGGCACACGTAGGAATTCCAAGTGGTCACAGCAGGATGAAGTCATTCAACTTCTGCGCTATTGCTATTTCAAACTTTGGTTCAAACCCAACCACCTCGCTGGGGTTAGGAACTGTGCCCCAAGTATACTCAAAGGACTTCAAGCCATCACGAACTTAACCTTGAAAGAAACCTGAGTGGCTGCCCTCAGAAGTGTCCCAAACTGGAAGCAACCACACAAGCAGGCGCAGTGGGAGCTCTCCAAAATTAACTGCCGTGGAGAATACAACTTATCGTAAGCATATGTAATAAAACTGCCCTAATTTTCAGATTAGGATTAACAATGGAAATAGTGACAGACTTTATTTATTAATTTCTTTATTTTATTAATTTTAAGACTAACAATGGAGACAGTGACAGACTTTATCTTGGGGGCTCGAAAATCATTGCAGATGGTGACTGCAGCCATGAAATTCAAACGCTTGCTCCTTGGAAGAAAAGCTATGATCAGTCTAGACAGCATATTAAAAAGCAGAGACATTACTTTGCCAACAAAGTTCCGTCTAGTCATAGCAATGGTTTTTCGGAAGTCATGTATAGATGTGAGAATTGGACTATAAAGAAAGCTGAGCACCGAAGAACTGATGCTTTTGAACTGTGGTGTTGGAGAAGACTCTTGAGAGTCCCTTGGACTGCAAGGAGATCCAACCAGTCCATCCTAAAGGAGATCAGTCCTGGGTGTTCATTGGAAGGACTGATGCTGAAGCGGAGACTCCAATACTTTGGCCACCTGATTCGAAGAGCTGACTCACTGGAAAAGACCCTGATGCTGGGAAGGATTGAAGGCGGGAGGAGAAAGGGATGACAGAGGATGAGATGGCTGGATGGCATCACCGACTCAATGGACATGAGTTTGAGCAAGCTCCAGGAGTTGGTGATGGACAGGGAGGCCTGATGTGCTGCAGTCCCTGGGGTCACAAAGAGTCAGACACAACCGAGCGAATGAACTGATTGACTGACTGAATTTTAAGATAAGACATAATGCATTAAAATGCAACAATAACCATAGCAATTGTATAGAAATGAGACCCAAAAAAACTCCCTGAAGCGTATTTATCACTGAAAATGTTTTGTACTGCTGACACATGGAGGTAGTAAAAAAGCATATTTCATTACTGTTTTTAAATTCTCCACAGAGGATATACCCCCTGACTGCTTGCATCTGGGAAGGCATACACCACTGCCAGGAAATTTTGCCATCAAAAGTCACAAAATGTTTTAATAGGAGCAATGGCCCAAAATTGCTAAGGGTTAAGGGCTGCCAGTAGAAATACAATCTCTGGGCAGGACAACATGGCAAAATGTCAAAAGTGCAAATCCTTTGACCTAGAAATTTTGCTTCAAGGGTTTTAATCTAAATAGCTGGTCATGGGTGTATTTAAAGATTTAGCAGTAAAGATACTCATCACAGTATCACTTTTAATAATGACACTGGAAATAAATTGGTTGAACATATCATGTACATCCATGCATTCAAAAATGTGGCAACCATTTTTTAAAAAATGTTATGAAGAACATTTAATGCTATGGGAAAACTTTTCTAACATATTCTTAAGTGAAACAATCACGTTATAAAATACAATATATTTCCCTCTTTTTTAAATAAGAATATGCATACTATGAGGACTCGCCACCCACTTCCCAGCTGGAGCACAAAAGCAGTTTCCATTTTCTTTTATAACCAGATTATACCGACTCCAGCCTCCTCACTGCAACGACCACAGGAAATCCACTCTTCCGGTTCCGTCCATGGAAGAGTGAGGGGACGATGGGCAGTGCCACAAATCCCACCTGCGCACTCCTCCTCGGGCAGCCCTGGCCTGCTAGCTTCCAAGCCGGGCAGCTCACCCCCCGCAGCTGCTTTGGGAAGTAGCTCTCTTTTCCAAGCCACTGGCGCCAAGCAGAACCCCCTTCCTTGGCTGCTCTGTCTGCCTGAATCCAAGCTCAGGTGTTTAGCAAGGCTTTGCTGAGCGCCTGGGGGAAGAACGCAGAGCCAAGAGCCGCTGATGCCTTGGCAGCTAAGGGCTCCGCACCCCACTGGGATTCACGGGCCCCAAGCCCCCCTTGGGGTCTGTGCGTACAGCCCAGGAGGCCTCAAGGCACCAGCTCAGGGCAGACAGTGCCCCAACTTCCTGCCAGCCCTAACGGAGTCAGGCGGCCCCTCCATGGTGCGAAGGCTGACTCTCCCCCAGCCTGATCACTGAAAGAGCGAGGCTCTCCTCCCTTCAGGGAGTACACCCTGCACCCCCACCCACCCGCTGGCTCACACCCCACATGCCTAGGGGCACACGGGCTGTGATCTGACCTCTCTGACCCAGAAAAAGCAAAACCAGCAGTTGTCAGCGCACCTCCAAATCCAGTTACGTAACCATACACAACACAACGAAGGGAACACTGCAGTCCAACCAGATCTGTCGTTTAAATAAAATCATTTCTCCAGCGCATTAAGGGCTAAAGAATATCCTTGTTTCCATTAGTAGCCATGTCACTCAACACAGCCACAGTCAAGTTCACAGTGACCTTGTCTTTTTTTCTGAACTTTTAATTTTGTATTGGGGTATAGCAGATTAACAATGTCGTGATCATTTCGAGTGAAGAGGGAGGCAAAGGCACTCAGCCAGACAGACGCATGTGTCCACTCTCCCCCAGACTCCCCTCTCATCCAGGCTGCCACATGACATTGAGCAGAGTCCCACGTGCTATAAAGTGATGGAGACCTCGTCCTTTTCTCTCAGTGTCCTAGGTAAGTCCTAGTGGTAGTAGTGTTAGTCATTTAGTCGTGCCCAACTCTGTGACGCCATGGACTGCAGCCTGCCAGGCTCCTCTGTCCATGAAATTCTCCAGGCAAGAGTACTGGAATGGGTAGCCGTTCACTTCTCCAGGGGATCTTCCCAACCAGGGATCAAACCCAGGTTTCCTGCATTGCAGGCGGATTCTTTACCATCTGAGCTACTGGGAAGCTCTAGTGCCTTGACATTTGTGTAATAAAGGGCCCAGGCCAGGGCTTTTCCCTAAAAATATTAGCGAAGCCTACTCCAAAGCTGAAACGATGTGTTCACCCCCAGAAACTAGAAATTTCCAACACATTTCAAATGTGAATACTCCAGCTACAAACCTCCATGAGGAAGGGGCGGCCTGGCTGTCACCTCCCACCAGCTGGGTGAGTGTGTCTGTGTTGCAAGATGAGAACTGTCACTCAACCTCTGCCTAACCCGGATAAAGTCCCTAGCCGCTGCAGGCACTGATGTTCAGCACCCCCTGAAAGGAGCTCAGGGTGAAGAGCAGGCAGGAGGCGCTCTGTGCTCTGGGAGAAGCCGGCAGGACAGGCCTCCAGACAGGGATTTTCTGGGGAAGATTTTATGAGCCCAAGATCGTGCATCTCCTCGCATCTAGAAAAGCACTAAAATCATTAACAGTGACATCTGTCCCTCGGGATGAGCAGCAAGCCTCTGCCAAGGTGGGCGGTGACTGCAGTTGCTCCGCCTTCACTACAGCCGCAAGTAATGCTGGCCTTCCCCCACCTCTTTGGAGCTGGTGCCTCAGAGCCATCTGACACGCCGTCTCTGGGACTGGAGTCCTCATTTTGCCCCCAAATAAAACAACTCACAGCTCCCGCCCTGTGCCTATTTTTCAGTGGACATTTTGGTGTGTGCACACGTGTTTTGCATATGCATTAAAGACTGGCAACTGTACAGAAACACAAATGGTGGCTCAGTCGGAGTGAAGAGATTGTGTGCTGTGTTGGTTTTGTTTGCTTTGGGGAGTTTCTCTCTGCTTGGATTTTTAAGATCTGTTTCAAAGAGGAGAAGTCACACAGCACACATGCAAAGTTGGGCGTCAGGGACTTTTTTGTTGGTTTTGAGACCCTAATCCCTAATATTTTATTTTCTCTTCCCTTGATCTTTCCCGTAAAAAACAAAGCCCCACACATCTGATTAATTAAGGCTTTCAGTTCATCAGATTTTATTAGGTATTTTACAAGTTTCATGGACAGTTGTCCTAAACTGGCCTGATGCAGCACGGCAGGTGTGGCTCCTCTGATCACAGACGGGAGCCTCGTGAAAAGCGCAGACTGCAAAGGCGTTCATGTAAATCAAGCTGATCTGAAATTGGACAAGACTGTTTCAAAAAACATTTTAGCAAATAGTGAATCGAAATGAGCGATGTTTCTTTAAAACTACATGGGCTTCCCAGATGACATGGTGGTAAAGAATTCGCCTGCCCATGCAGGAGGCATAAGAGACTTGGGTTTGATCCCTGGGTCAGGAAGATTCCCTGGAGGAGGAGATGGCAACCATTCTGGTATTCTTGCCGGGAAATCCCATGGACAGAGGAGCCCGGAGGACTACAGTCTATGGGGTCGCCAAGATTTGGACGTGACTGAGCATACATGCATGCATTTAAAACTACACAGAGAATTTTGAAACCACAGGGTCACCTTGGTTATCTTGTCTGTAGTTCACTCTTTGGACTCAAATCTGAATTTTAAAAAAATATTAATTTTAAACCTTTAAAGCAATTGTTTTCCTCTGTGCTTGAACAGTTTCCCATCTGTCAGGTGGCAAATGGGCTGGTGCTTTTTTAAAACACTTTTTTATTTCAAATTACCAAAGTCATACATATTCATTGACGAAAAGATGATAAATACAGAAGAACTCAAAGAAAAACAGTCATCCACAACTTCACCATGCTGCTTATGAAAAAACTGCTCATTTGAGGTGTTTACTTTCAGCCTAACACACACACACACACACACACACACACACACACACACCCATATACACATACAGACAGAACTACACATGAGCACACCTACCCAGACCCATTCACATACATACAGTAACAAGATCAGTCTAGGCACCCTGCTTTATAATCATTAGAAAAACCCCTGGTGCTGGAAAAGATCGAAGGCAGGAGGAGAAGGGGATGACAGAGGATGAGATGGTTGGATGGCATCACTGACTCAGTGGACATGCGTTTGAGTAAACTCTGGGAGTTGGTGATGGACAGGGAGGCCTGGCGTGCTGCTGTTCATGGGGTCACAGAGTCAGACATGACTGAGTGACTGAACTGAACTGAACTGCTGTAACTTAGCAATATGTTGTAAACACTTTAAATACTCTTCGATATTCTTAAGATAGTCTTAGCTAATGTCTTTTAATTTTTTTCCCATTCGTTTATAGTTGATGTACAATATTAAAGAAGTTTCAGGTGTATGACATAGTGATTCACTAAGGTTATAATCCATTTGTAGTTCTTTCCAAATACTGGCTATATTCCCTGTGTTGTACAATATATCCTTGTAGTTTATTTTATCGATGATAGCTTGCATCTCTTAATCGGTCCCCACCCAACCGCCCAAGACTTCCCTGTGGTCCAGTGTTTAAGAGTCTGCCTGCCAATGCAAGGGACACAGGTTGGATCCCTGGTCCGGGAGGATCCCACATCCCTCGGCGCAATGAGGCCCCTGCAGCACAGCTACTGAGCCCTCGAATCTAGAGCCCGGGGTCCCTGACAAGAGAAGGCGCCAGGACGAGCCGCCCCAGAACGGCAGAGAAGAGTGGCCCGAGCTCGCTGCAACTACAGAGGGCCACGCAGCAGCAGCAAGGAACCGGCACAGGCCGAAATAAAGACAGCAAAATAAAAAGTGCACCTCGGAGGGACTAAAACATGCTAGAGGTCGAGCCATTCCCATTTTTAAAAAATCCCCCCCTTGCCCCGCCCTCCTCTCCTCTCCCCGCAGGTAACCCAGTCTGTCCTCTGCATCTGCGACTCCGCTTCCTTTTTGTCGTATTTACTAGTCTGTTTCATCTTTTAGATTCCACATACAGGTGGTATCATACAACATCTGTCTTTCTCTGACTTATGTTGCTTAGCCTAATACGTCAAGTCCATCCATGTGGCAAACGGCACGATTTCATTCTTTTTTACGGCTGGGTAGCATCCACTGTGGGCTTCCCAGGTGGCACTCGTGGTAAAGAACCTGCCTGCCAATGCAGGAGACGTGAAGAGATGTGGGTTCGATCCCTGAGTCAGGAAGGTTCCCTGGAGGCGGGCGGAGCAATCCACTCCAGAGTTCTTGCCTGGAGACTCCCACGGCCAGAAGAACCACGGGGTGGCAAAGAGTCGGACAAGAGGGAAGCGACTTAGCATGCACACAGGCATCAGTCCATCGTGGACACAGGCCCCGCTTTCTTTATTCACTGACCTGTTGGTGACGCTTAGGTTCGTTCCATGCCTCGGCCATTGCACACAACGCTCCTGTGAACGTCGGCGTGTACAGGAGTCTCGGCCTAGTGACAGCTGAGGAGTCCACCCGAAGGAAGGAGGCAAGGAGGTGGGGTGCCAGGGGCATCGGAAAGAGAGATCCCCACCAGGGGAGAGAGGCACGTGACTGCCACTTGTCCCCGCCCGTCTGCACGCAGCCGGGGTGCACCGCCTGTCCTCTTGCCCCATCTGTGCCTTCCGGGCTTCTGGCTGTGTCAAGGTGAGCCCTGACAGGCTGCCCTCCTGGGTCCTCCCTAGTCTTAGACGGGCGTGAAAAGCCAAGTTCAGGGCTGGGGACGGGGTGAGCTCTTGGTGGTACCCTGACCCTTCAGTGCGTGCTAACTGGTGTTGGGTTAGACCCCCCCCCCCACCCCTGGGGATCCAGAGACACCCGGCCTCCGCGCGACAGTGAGAAAAGAGGACTAGAAAGTATAAAGCTTGTGTTGGGAGGTTGATCTTGGGCCTGTTACCCTGGGTGCCGTCCTTCTTTGGTAGAGCTTTTGGTCCCCAGGTTATATAGCTCTGTGGGAGATGCTCCTTGCACTCAGCAGAAAGCAGGACTTCCTGACTTGTAAGGGCATCTGAACGGGGACTTTGAGCTCCAGAGGAACATTGGTTCAGATGTCCTCAAAGGTCTCCTCCAGTCTTGAGACTCTGCGTCCCCCCACCTCAAAATGCCACCTTGGAAGCCAGGGCATCACTCACCCTGTTAGCTGAAAACACTGCTTCTGTGAAGGGTCACAAAGGCTGCCTGACATCCAAGTTTCTTCCAGCTTCTTCACTTACCATTTTTGTGACCTTGGGCAAATTAATAAATCCCGCTGCTTCGGTTTCCTCATCTATTAAAATGAGGACAATACTGCTATTTATTATCGTGTGAATAGAGTGTGCTAACGTGTGCTCAATAATTACGATTTGGAGGATTGTGGCTGTGTCTCCCACCAGACTCTGCGTGTAGACCACGTTTCATCTTTATGTTTTTAGTGCAGAGATATATTGTTCCAGAACTTTCAGCTACAAACATTCCCCCCGTCTTCCTCTTTCAAGCAGAAGATGTGTATACGTAATAAACTATGCAGATGTATGGGGTGTTTGGGGAAAAAAGGGAAATGGCCCATGGAACACTGAAGTCAGTGGAGCTCCAGCTAGCTTCCTGCATCTTCTCAGACAGCAGTTTCATACACAAGGTCATGATTCGCATCACACAGGAATTTCACATAGCAACTCAAACATCAGCACAGGTCCTTGTGCCAACATTTTAAATAGGGGGCAGCTTACAAATATGAACTTATTTACTGATGTGGGTGTCATAAAGTAAATAACAAAAACATAACAAAAATTTAAAATACAATAAATGCATTCCTTTATTTTTATAATGTATTTGTTATACCTTTACATATAAATTGATTGTAGTCTACAAAACAGCATGTGATAAAAAACTAAAAATATCCACAACATTTTAATCTTCCCACATAAACAATTTGTATTCATAAACATCCATCTCACTGCAGGTGGAAACTTTGCAAGGCTTGAGTAGCAAACAGGTGTGTCTGACAAGCAAGAATTGGCCCTGAAGCTCCTTCATCACCTGTGAATGGAAAATTGGTGGAACCATTCCTACACCCTGGAGCAACGGTGCTCAATCTCAGCTGCACATGGGATCACTTGGGGAGCTTTAAAAAACATGAACATCGAGCTGATTCAAAGGTGCCGTCACGGTGGAGTAGCGCTGGTCCAGGGCACCCACAGCCTCAGGCTCTGGCAAGTGTTTATCATCACAGCTGATGAGGGAGGGGCCTCCTTAGCAAGCAGCCCATGGAGGCCCATCTTTCTGTGCTCCATGTCCTTAGGGCCCTTCAGAGAGAGGGCTTGGTCACAAGACAGAGATCTTTCGGAAAAGCAGTTGCCACATCACCTGCTTACAGGGTCTTCTACGGATAATGCAAAAAGGACGGAATTAATGGAAATAGTTGTTCTGTTTATTGTTGTTCTGAATATTCTGGGCAAGAATATTCAGTTCAAATCAGTTCAGTCACTCAGATGTGTCCGACTCTTCGCAACCCCATGAACTGCAGCATGACAGACCTCCCTGTCCATCACCAACTCCCGGAGTTTACTCAAACGCATGTCCACTGAATCAGTGATGCCATCCAACCATCTCATCCTCCGTCGTCCCTTTCTCCTCCCACTTTCAATCTTTCCCCGCATCAGGGTCTTTCCAATGAGTCAGCTCTTCACATCAGGTGGTCGAAGTATTGGAGTTTCAGCTTCAGCATCAGTCCTTCCAATGAACACCCAGGACTGATCTCCTTTAGGATGGACTGGTTGGATCTCCTTGCAGTCCAAAGGACTCTCAAGAGTCTTCTCCAACACCACAGTTCAAAAGCATCCATTCTCCGGTGCTCACCCTTCTAGTCCAACTCTCACATCCATACATGACTACTGGAAAAACCATAGCTTTCACTAGACTCTTTGTCAGCAAAGTAATGTCTCTGTTTTTTAATATGCTGTCTAGGTTGGTCATAACTTTTCTTTCAAGGAACAAGCATCTTTTAATTTCATGGCTGCAATTACCATCTGCAGTGATTTGGGAGCCCCCCAAAAATAAAGTCTGTCACTGTTTCCATTGCTTCCCCATCTATTTGCCATGAAGTGATGGGACCGGATGCCATGATCTTAGTTTTCTGAATGTTGAGTTTTAAGTCAACTTTTTCACTCTCTTCTTTCACTTTCATCAAGAGACTCTTTGGTTCATCTTCACTTTCTGCCATAAAGGTGGTGTCATCTGCATATCTGAGGTTACTGATATTTCTCCCGGTAATCTTGATTCCAGTTTATGCTTCATCCAGTCCAGTGTTTCTCATGGTGTACTCTGCATATAAGTTAAATAAGCAGGGTGACAATATACAGCCTTGATGTTCTCCTTTTCCTATCTGGAACCAGTCTGTTGTTCCATGTCCAGTTCTAACTGTTGCTTCCTGACCTGCATACACATTTCTCAAGAGGCATGTCAGGTGGCCTGGTATTCCCATCTCTTTCAGAATTTTCCACAGTTTGTTGTGATCCATACAGTCAAATATTTTGGCATAGTCAATAAAGCAGAAATAGATGTTTTTCTGAAACTTTCTCACTTTTTTGATGATCCAACGGATGTTGGCAATTTGATCTCTGGTTCCTCTGCCTTTTCTAAATCAAGCTTGAACATGTGGAAGTTCACAGTTCATGTACTATTGAAGCCTGGCTTGGAGAATTTTGAGCATTACTTCGCTAATGTGTGAGATGAGTGGAATTGTGCGGTAGTTTGTGCATTCTTTGGCATTGCCTTTCTTTAGGATTGGAATGAAAACTGACCTTTTCCAGTCCTGTGGCCACTGTTGAGTTTTCCAAATTTCCTGGCATATGGAGTACAGCACTTTCACAGCATCATCAAGTTCAGCTGAATTCTATCACCTCCAGGAGCTTTGTTCACAGTGATGCTTCCTAAGGCCCACTTGACTTCACATTCCAAGATGTCTGGCTCTAGGTAAGTGATCACACCATCGTGATTATATGGGTCATGAAAACCTTTTTGCATAGTTCTTCTGAGTATTCTTGCCACCTCTTGTTAATATCTTCTGTTTCTGTTAGCTCCATACCATTTCTGTCCTTTACTGTGCCCATCTTTGCATAAAACGTTCCCTTGGTATCTCTAATTTTCTGAAGTGATCGCTAGTATTTTCCATTCTGTTGTTTCCCTCTTTCTTTGCATTGATCACTGAGGAGCTTTCTTATCTCTCCTCGCTCTTATCTCTACTGGCAAGAATATAGGGAGAGTTTTAAAATGCCGAAATGCTTTAAAGGTGATTCTAGTAAATCAACCTTTAAAAATCTACTGTTGCCTTTCTTTTTCGAGAGTTCTTTTAGAGATTCTGAAAAGATGTGATTCTGTGCTGTGGTCCCGCTGGCTCCCCTCAGGGGGCTTCTTTCCTAAAATCACTGCCATGGAAAAGCTTGGGAAGGAAGCAGGAGTCCAGTCGCTCAGAGCCGGTACAGGGCACACGTGTGGGAGGCCAGGTCGCTGGGCCATCCTTCTCGGCTGTGGTGCTAAAGGAGACCTCCTGGGGAAATAAGCAGGTGAAGGGTGACTCTGCAGACAGGAAGCTGTGGGGGTGACACGCAGGTTACGGGCCAATCACGGCGTGTCGGGGTTACAGGGCCAATCGTGGCGTGGCAGGGTTACAGGGCCAATCATGGCGCGGCGGGGTTACAGGGCCAATCAGGCAGGGTTACAGGGCCAATCACGGCGCAGCAGGGTTACAGGGCCAATCATGGCGCGGTGGGGTTACAGGGCCAATCAGGCAGGGTTACAGGGCCAATCAGGCAGGGTTACAGGGCCAATCACGGCGTGGCGGGGTTACAGGGCCAATCACGGTGCAGCGGGGTTACAGGGCCAATCAGGCAGGGTTACAGGGCCAATCATGGCGTGGCAGGGTTACAGGACCAATCAGGCAGGGTTACAGGGCCAATCACGGCGTGGCAGGGTTACAGGGCCAATCACGGCGCAGCAGGGTTACAGGGCCAATCAGGCAGGGTTACAGGGCCAATCATGGCGTGGCAGGGTTACAGGGCCAATCAGGCAGGGTTACAGGGCCAATCACGGCGTGGCAGGGTTACAGGGCCAATCACGGCGCAGCGAGGTTACAGGGACAATCAGGCAGGGTTACAGGGCCAATCACGGCGCGGCGGGGTTACAGGGCCAATCAGGCAGGGTTACAGGGCCAATCACGGCGCGGCGGGGTTACAGGGCCAATCAGGCAGGGTTACAGGGCCAATCAGGCAGGGTTACAGGGCCAATCGTGGCGTGGCAGGGTTACAGGGCCAATCACGGCGTGGCAGGGTTACAGGGCCAATCACGGCGCAGCGGGGTTACAGGGCCAATCATGGCGCGGTGGGGTTACAGGGCCAATCAGGCAGGGTTACAGGGCCAATCAGGCAGGGTTACAGGGCCAATCACGGCGTGGCGGGGTTACAGGGCCAATCACGGTGCAGCGGGGTTACAGGGCCAATCAGGCAGGGTTACAGGGCCAATCATGGCGTGGCAGGGTTACAGGACCAATCAGGCAGGGTTACAGGGCCAATCACGGCGTGGCAGGGTTACAGGGCCAATCACGGCGCAGCAGGGTTACAGGGCCAATCAGGCAGGGTTACAGGGCCAATCATGGCGTGGCAGGGTTACAGGGC